CCATGGGGAGTCAGCAGAGCCTGGTACATTCAGTAGAGGCAAGTCAAAGCCCCTCCCCCTGCACCAAGGCTGTGTGAGGTGTCCCACCATAGGTAGTGGGCTCTAAAAAGCCAGCTCATGCACCAGGGATGGATCCTGATCCTACTGCCAGGGGGCTCCTTGAGCAGATCAAGCTACACAACTGTCTAGCTTATGCAAAGGGCCTAGTCCAGTCCCATGGAGGCTCCACAGCTGTTGGTCTAAAGTTCATGAGTTCCCACTAGTTGGGTTTGGTTGTCTCTTTAGGTTTCCCCATCATGATTTTGATGCCCCTTGCTCATAGAATCCCTCTTTTTTCTCTTCAACTGGATTCCTGGAGCTCGGCCTGGTGCTTGCTTGTGGATCTCTGCATCTGCTTCCATCAGTTACTGGATGAAGGCTCTCTTGGTCCAATCAGAGCTGGCAGATTCTGTGTCTCAGGAAGCTACTTTGAATCCACTTTTAAAAAGCAACTACTTGTTTTAAATATTTTACATTGATATAGATCTTTGTACATTGATACAAAGTTGAGATTATTTTTTGAACATATTGCACATACATTTCTAATCTTGTTCAAGGTATTATACCTATATATCTAATTTAACAATGTAACATAAATTTCTAGTCCTTGAAAGTTATTATCACCAACTAATTATGATATAAAGAAATGTAAGTTAGTCATTATAATTGAACTTGTAGTCCAATTAGGTATGTTTTCAAGCTCAAACAGATGTATTTTGAATAGACAGGTTGTCTTCAAACACTTCAGAGATCTACAGAATATGGCATTTAAGATGTTTTAATAACATAAGGTTCTTTTTTTTCTTTTTGACAATGAGACATATCTGCTCCTGGCAACATCAATCTACGTCAGAGAAGATGATGGGCATTGAAGAAACTCCATATGGAGTTTACTTTCTTTGTGGAAAGTTAGCCACTGGGCAAGAAAATGTCCTTGCCTTGACTGCTGACAGTGTGCTGTCCATATGGGACAAGTAGGACCCAAAAGAAAGGACTGCCAAACTTTGCCAAGACAAGGTAGGACAGCCCTTCAGAAAATCCTGCTTCACAGATGAGCCTGTCAGATACACTAGGCCTGCAAGCTGAAGATGGATGCCCCAATGTTGCAGAGGAACCTTGGGTGACTGTCCAGGCAGCCAGCTGTTTCTGTCATTTCTCATATTTTTTGGAAGTTGCTTGTTTGCACTTCCTGCTTACTCAGTTAATATTATTTCCTTCTCAGGTCTCTGATGGAGTTGAAGAATTTATAGTTATAGTTTTCCATGATACCAGATTCAGAAAAGAAATTCACCAAAGAGGTGTAGAGTGTATAAGTTTGAGAGACATAAAATATAGTTTTGGTAATGCAAGTTAGAATAGAAAGTGAATTAGGAACAATCTCTTGGACTCACCAAGATAGGATAAATATTGGAGTATTTTCTTTGAATTTGTCAAATATTTACAGACTAGACATTGTTGATGTATTTATTGCCTGTATATATTATATAGTTATACTTATTGTATATAGTTTTTCTTATGTTAGCTATAACCTTTTTAAAACTTTAACAAAAAGGGGGGAATGTGGTGATATTTTATTGGTGCTCTAACAAATAAATCTTGCCTGGAGATAAGAGTGTAGAGCTAGCCACTAGAGGCCAGGCAGTGGTGGCACACACCTTTCTTCCCAGCACTGGGAGGAGGAAACAAGAAGTGATAAGGCTGGGTGGAGAGAGGAAGTGATAAGGCAGGAGCTAGGCTCTTTCAGTCTGAGGATTCCTAGAGGTAAGAAGTCTTTCTAGTGGCTGCTGCTCTACTTCTCTGATCTTTCAGCCTTCACCCTGATATCTGACTCTGGGTTTTTGTTATTAAGATCAATTAGAATTCATTCTACACATGCATGTAACATGAGTTGTTAAATGATCTTATTAATAAAAAACTCAGAGCCAGATATTGGGGTGAAAGCTGGAAGATCAGAGGAAACAAGCCACAGCCACAAGTTCTTACTGCTAGAAAATCCCCAGCCCAAGAGAGAGCTACTTCCTGTATACTCACGCCTTACATACCTTTCTGGGTCCTGCCATTTTACTTCCTTTCTCTGCCCAGCTACATCACTTCCTCTGTCTGCCCAGCTCTATCACTTTCTGTCTGTCTGTACAGATCTCTAGACCTCTATAGTTAACCAGCGCTGGGATTAAAGGCATGTGCCACCATGCCTGGCTCTGTTCCCAGTGTGGCCTTGAACTCACAGAGATCCTGATGGATCTCTGCCTCCAGAATGCTAGGATTAAAGGCATGTGCTACCACTGCCTGACCTCCATGTTTAATATAGTGGTGGGCTTTTTCCTCTGATCCCTAGGCAAACTTTATTTGTTAAAGCACAAATAAAATATCACCACACATGCACACACATGTGCACACACTCAAATGCACACATGTGCACACACATGCATGAACACATACACCTACACACATACTGGCATACACACACACACATATGCACACATACATTCACTCTTCATCCACACACACCAACATGCACACACACACATGCACATGTGCACACAAAGTAACACAATCTTTAATGATATTTATGTTTATTGTCTACCTGCAATCATGTCTGTGCATTATGTGCATGTATTGCCTGGGATGGCCAGAAGAGGGTATCAGATCTCTTGGAATTGGAATTACAGATGGTTTTGAACAACTATGTGGGCACTGGGAATTGAACTTAGATCCTTTGGAAGACTGATCAGTGCTCTTAACCAGTGATTCATCTCTCCAGACTCATAAAAATTTTTAAAAAGATATAATAATTGTATTTGTGTACTAAATATTGGAGCCTATAATTTCATAAAATAAATAGTAAATGGACAAAAGGTCACAAATGTCCTGACACAATAATAGTGGGGTCTTTGGTACCCATTCATATTTAGATAGAACTTTCAAACTAAAATTAACCAACACAATTTCAAAGCTAAAATATAGCATGGATCAGTTGAACTTTATATATATATTACAGAATACTACATCCAACAGACTTCCCTTTCTCCAAAATTGATCACATAATAGACTACAGATGAAGCATTAGCAAATACAAAACTATCACAGTGATTTCTTGTATCCTATCAGACCAGTGTAATAAAAGTAGAACACAACAACAAGAAAAACTACAGAAAGACTGAACAATTAATCCATCTTTTTGAATGAATGTGGGTTATTCAAGAAGTCAGAGGAGAAATTAAAAAAGAAAAATGAATATGGATACAACGAGAACAATATCAGAATCTCTGAGATGCAGTCAAAGCAGTCCTAAGAGGAAAATTTATAGCTGTAAGAGCTCATATTAAATAAGTCTCAAATACCCTAATAATGTGCCACAAAGCTCTAAAAAACAACAAACTCTGTAGTGGTAAAAAATAATACAAATTAGAGAGGAAATTAATAAGAGAGAGACTGAAAACAATATACAAAAATCAACCAAAGAATCAGTTCTTTGAAAAACTTAACAAGGTTGACAAGCCCCAGGCAAAATGACAGAAAGAAAGAAGACCCGCTGGGCGTTGGTGGTGCACGCCTTTAATCCCAGCACTTGGGAGGCAGAGCCAGGCGGATCTCTGTGAGTTCGAGGCCAGCCTGGGCTACCAAGTGAGCTCCAGGAAAGGCGCAAA